TCCTAAGCTTATGCAAGGTTAGGAGAGGCAAGAGACCGGTAGATTAAAAAATAAAAATGATTAAATCTACTGAAGGGCAATAGATTAAAATCCAGACTCTGGAGCCAGGCCACTCTGGATGAGTTTTTTCATTTCTCTGTGCTTCAGCTTCTCTGTGCACAAAATGGAGATACCCATTTCCTATCTCCTAAATAATCAGTCCACGTAAAACACCCCGAGCCGTGCATGGCACCACATGCTAGGTAAGTCTCGGCGGACGCTGCGACATGGGAGAAGCCATCAACACAACACAGGAGAGGAAGCGGACGGAACGCCCGGACCCCAGCTCCAGCGGAACCCGGAGGGGGAAGTGTCTCCCCTCCTCCCGCCAAGGAAAAGGCGCTTCTCGGAAGGCCCGCATCTCTGAGGGGGAAGCCGGGGCAGCGTGGGGACAGTCAGTTCTGTTATTGAGATCGAGGAGAGGCCCCCCTGCTGGCGGCACTCCTGGCGGCTGGGACCTGGGACAGAACAAAGACAGCCAAGAGAAGAGCGGCAGCAGCCTGGGGCTTGGCAACCTACCAGGAGGAGCATTTTGATCTAGACGTTGGCACTTCCCTCTGGGGCGGCTGGGACAGAAGTGACTGGGGAAGCTGTCCAGCCAGGGACACATCCGTGTAAAGACGTCCCAGCCGGCCTAACACCACCAGGACCAATTCTGGTAACAAACAGGACACCCGCCGGGGAGACCGCCAGCCCCCTCAGGGCTGGTTTTGAACCTGCGGGGCCCGAGGTGAAACGATCCCCCAGCGTCTTTTCCTCAAACCTCAACACGATGCCTGAGGCAAGTCCGAACAGATCTGGTGAAGACCGCTGAAAAGGCTGGCTATACCAAGTTACGTTCCAACAACCCATACCATGCCAGACCACTAACTAGCAGTGATCATCGGTCGCTGAGGCTATTCATGATCTGAAGTAGTTAGGATAAGTGAAGAATTTAGAGCGTCTCTAGTAAAAACTGAACAAGAGAAGCCAGCCGAGTACCTTAACAGAACGTGACTGATCTTAGCATAAACCGAATTGAACCCAGCATCGTATTTCCTGCTGGATGAGATGCTCATCGAGAAGGAAACCAACATCCTGAGAAACGCGGACAGCATTTCCAAGGGTTCCCCGGCATCTGGTCCTTGCCAGGTGCTCAGCAGACCCGCTGTGATCTTCTTGACGCTCACCCCTCTACGGCGGCGACGCCTCCAGTGATTATTCGGGCAACGGTCGGTCCAGTCCCGCCGGGGTCCCTGGGATCCCAGGTTCCGGGGGACTGTGGGGAAGACACTTCCTGGCTCCAAAAGAGCGCGTGGGAAGCGGAGACCCAGCTGCTCGGACAGCCGCCCGGGAGCCCCGGGCGTCAGAGCCTCCGGACGACAGGCTGCGGCGGAGGCAGAGGCAGGACAAGCGTGGACCTTCGATGACCTACTTCTAGACTTCCTCTTCTAGGAGCCAGCAAGCTCCCTTGTGATCTCGACATGGTTCATATCTGTGCTCTAAAGCATCTGAATGTACACAGTTTGTTTTCTCAGCTCTACACAAGAACGTCACGCGGACCCCTTTAAATGTTAGCCAGGAAACCCCCCAACTATCCCACTTTAAACAAACTGAGGGATAGAGCAGACTCGCATTTAAATAAATAGGTTTTAGGGACAGTTAAATAGGAATGTTCTAATAACTCTCTTTAATAATTTCTGGACATTCTCCCTTGAATATTCACCAAAGTAAAAACAGTAATAAAACCATTTAGAAACTTCAAACTCTCAGTTTGACATAAAAGCGCAGTTATATAGTAGCATTTACTTTTCAAAGGACCAACAACTATAGCTTGTTAAACCCTTATTAGTCATGTTCATACTATTTAAGTCACAATCAAAAGAAGAAAAGTTGCGAATGCTTTTTACATGGTTCAGTTTCACTTTTAAAAAACATCTTCAGAACTTGCTGCCAACCAGCGTTTTTCATGGGACGCCAGGGCAGGACGGGCTCGCTGCGACCTTCAGAGAGGCCCAACGCATTCATTTTAACCCGTTACTGCATTTCAACGTCACCGGGCTGGATACACTGTTAAAACCCAAATGAAGACGTTTCTAGTAACTGGTGATTTCGATATCAGCAGCGAAAGGACAACAATAGAAGACCAGTGGAAAAATCAAACCAGACTAACCAGTTCCTAAGAGATGGGCAAGGCGAAGGGAGCGAGGAAGGAGTCAACCACCGGAACGCTTTACGGGCGTCACCGCCCCCTGCCGCAGGCACCGACCCCGGGTCCCCAAAGGCGGGGGACCCTTTTATCAAGATCACGTAGCCTGCGTTCCCTCTCACAGAGCTGTCCCAGGCCCTGCGCTCTGCCCTCAAGGGCGGCTCCCAGGGTCCCTCGGAGGGGTGCTCTGTCTGCCCTGCATGACCGCTGCCCGAGCCGAGGCTCCAGCCCGGGCCCACGACTCTGGAGCTACCCTGTTGTCCAGCTTCCTGAAGGTCGCTGCACCGATGACCAGCAAGACGGCTCGCCTGGGGTGTCTGCCTGAGGCCGGGGTGTCTGCCTGAGGCCGGGGTCTCGGGGCGCCCAGCCCACTCACCTCCAGGAGCCCCAGTGAGGCCTGGAGGAGGCAGGTGACGTCTCCGGGTGGCTCGCAAGTCCGAGTCAGGGGACAAGAGGAGAGAAGCGAGGTTGCTACCAAGCCCTGCCGCCTCGGGGACACTTGTGGAGAGAGTGGCTGATGGCCTCCCCGCCCCTGGCCCCGGCGCGTCCCCGTGCTCCCTCTACTCGGACGGCTTCTCTCCGCTGCCCAGGGTCATCTGTGTCTGTTGTCATCGTGGCTGGAGACCAGCCCCCGACCCGCCTAATGCTGGGCTTTGTGGCTCCAGTTAGATTTCTGGTCACTTTTCATGGTAATCGTTTGAGCAGCAGAAATATTTCTGCTTGGGGCTCACTATGAAAAATATGTTGTATAACAGCTTCTTTCTCGTCACCCCTGGCTATAAAATTATAAAAATCGTTCCCAAGAAAACGGATCGTGTTAGAGTTTATTTTGTCTTTGTCTTTGTGCTTCCATATAACCCTTCCTGCCACACAGAAGAAAACCTCTGAATTAAGCATCTTAAAAACAAAGCCCTGGCTGCCCCGAGCCGCAGGGCCCCCGAGGCCCGCACCCCGAGGCCCCGCCAGAACCGAAGGGAGGCCGAAGCTGCGGCGCCGGAGCGGCAACTGCCCACCTGGACAAGGGGATCCTAGTGACTTGTTTGAAGGCACTGGTTTCCCTCTTAATAATTCCCTGTGCTTGCTCACCTTAGAATCTGCTTCTCGTTGGTGAATAGAAAGAGATGAAAACTCCACGTAGTTATGAATGTCAGATGCGTGTCTGTGGGCTAACAGAACTGAATGTGTCCAGTCACGGCAGAAAGAGAGCGCTCCACAGTAACGGTAATCTCTGTCCCTTGACCCACCGAGGTGACCTGTGATCTACTGCCGTTAACAAGGGTAACAATTAGACTACAAACTTTTCAGCCAAAGCAGTTCAATCCTCCAACATGTCACCTTATTTAAACTGAAGAAGAGTGAGTCGGATTGATCGCAATTAACTTTGCTCTCTGCTGTGCATGTACACTAGGTTAAGGTGTTACTTCCAAGGAGAATAGATTATTTTTAAACTTTACTGTAAGAAAGAAGTGTCATTACTCTGTGTATTTTAAACAATATACACAGCATATATTTTAAACAATAAAAGACTTTGCTCTTAGAGAAAATGAAAATGAAATCACGCAGAAAGCGCGTTTTCCAAAGGAGCCCGCTTCACAAACACACACACCAGGTAAGCCTTACTTCACACACCTGAGCTAAGGTAACGGTGGATATTTTGAAGATTGACTTCATACCATAAATACGCTAGAGAATAGATTTAAGCTGGAGCTGAAATAAAATGTGTGTGGATGTGAGTCTTCTAAGAGAACTTGGCTGGGCCTGAGAAGTGTGTAAAAGAACCAACTTTGTACAGATAGGACAACAAAAGATGCCTTAGGAATCGGAAAGGACTGCCTACACCCTGCGCCCACCCCTTGCCCTCGGCCTGCCCAGCACCCACCTGGGCGCTGCCGCTGCGCCAACAGGCCACAAGTGCCGCTGGCAGGGCCGCTGGAGCCAGGGACGCGTGTGGCTTCCTACCTAAAATTAGTCCTGCCCACGCAGCCACAGCGGAGCTGGGCTGGGCTCCTCTATTTTAAGGTGTGCAGCTCCAAATTGCTTAAGAGCATATAATTGCTTTAAAAAAAAAAAAGCATATAATTGCTGGCCAGTTTCTGAAACTAAAAGTGTCGCCGAGAATGGACACGTCAGGTCCACAGACCCCGCACTTATTCAGCCTGTTACCTAGGGTCCCGGTACATGAGCAGCAAAACCACACCCGTGACATCTGAGGACACACATCACACAGGATGCACTGAGAGGAAGAAGCAGGAAGACGGCCCTCCATCTTTCCACCAGCCCCTCCCGACAGACACGTACACGCACGTGACCCAGGTGGGGGGGACATAAACCAGCCAAGCGTCCTCTTCTTTTCAGGAAGTTGTACAGCACCGAGAGCTGAAGCCGTTCCAGAAAAGAGCACAGGCTGTTTTCCTCCCCCACGAACGTGCTGCGCTCGCGTGTAAGGCGCGCGGCCGGCGCTGTTCCGGCAACATCGCGAGGGAACCCGTGTGGCCCCGCTGCCCCGGCGGAGACTTTGCACCGGTGTTTAAAACAGAGGCTAAATTGCTGGAGACGAATGAAAGAAAATGAAACGGCGTCGCCTTCCGCCACAACTCGGTCCACCGATGGCAAGGCTGCGCTGTAACCTGTACCCCCAGCATGCACCGGAAAATCAGGCTGCCGCAATGAAACTCAGGATTTCTGCAAGCTCAGGGCGGAGACCTCGCATCCGCCATGGGCACAGCTGTTCGGACAGGCTCAGTCACGTTAAGAATTGATAACACACACATACCTTCGTTTTCAGAAGCATGACATTTCACGTTCAATACCAAGTCAAAGGTTCTTTCTGGATTTTCCCTAAACGAAAAAGAACTCCGTTATATTTATTTGCTATGACATAAATAAGCATCTCTATAAAGTCAATATTTTCATAATTCTAATAATAAATCTTGTTCTTGTCTCAATAGATGCCACATAACTATATGACCCCAACATAGCAGAAATAAAGTTGTTTCCCCCAGTTCAGCAACTGAACAGACCTGAGACTTGGGCAAGACGTTTAACCTGTGAGCCTGTTTTTTCACCTACAAAGTGCCTCTTTCACATCACAGAATAATTGCGAGGATTATAAATGAAATAATACATCTGGAGGGCCTTTGGGAAGAATTAAGCGATGTATCGCCGTAAAGCATTGCCTTTATCTCATAGAATCAAAACAAAAGCCACAGGTTCCTAAGCGTCTCCACCTTTCCTGCCTACGAAGCACGACAGCAGGTTCTCAGACTTCCTTCAAAGGACTCGCAGTGTGTCAGCTATGAATAACCTGGTTCCACCTGCCACCTTCTTGACGACCGTGACACATCTATAATGCTCCTCAAGTGTGATGCTCGGCACATATTTTTCTTGAGATATAATTGCTCTGCGTTAGCATGTTTAAAGGAGCAGACTATACACAGACTCCAAGGCCAACACAAAAAGCCTTGCTTTAGGTTTTATGTCAATTATCTTTGGGGAAATTAGACATCTGCCTCCACATTCGATTCTCCCACTAGGAACAACAGTAGGGCTGCTTGGCTCCATTCAGAAATTACCAGCTTCTTTACGAACTTCTCATACATTCAACCTATTCATTGGCTTGGTTTCAAAAAGTGAATTGAAATCTATTGAGACACCTTTTTTTTTTTTTTTCAGAACAGAGTTCTGTTTTAATCTCTTTCTGACAGAAGATAAAAGATTAAGGTCTGACACCACAATATCCACGTGACCAAAGTGTTAATATATTTCAGTTTTTCCTAGTAAGGAGACCTTAGCGCCTTTGTACATTGCCAGTTTTTATCATGCACTTCCTTCAAATGCTATTGCCACTTTGGGCTTCTAAATAAACCTTTTTTTTTTTCTTTTTCAATGTTATTACAAGACAAGAATCCAGAAGCAGGAAGTGACAAGCCATATAAATTAATTTGCAATTACCCATATCCTCAGCCCTCCCACTATTAATTTGTTTAAATGGTAATAATCTGACTCAGGCCATCGCCTCTCAAAAGCATGCTTTTGACATTAGTTGATTATGTCAAAAATCAATTAATTGCTTTAACATCATAGGGGGCCGCCCCCTCCCTGTCCCCCTCCCCCGGCCAATGATTTCAAACACTGCAGAAAATTACACTACAGGATTTTCCTAATATTCCTCAGTATGTCTCTTAGGTGTAAAAATTAAATGCCGACTACGTTACACTGTGTAAGTTTCGCAGTCATACAAATATACAGGATAGTCATTATTTTCAAGTCTAAAGGGAAGTGAGAAAGGAGGGGCAAGGGGAGAAAAAAGGAATTCTTTGCCAAGTAAGTTTCGGGATTTAAAAAGAGAGAGACAGAAAGAGAGCGCAGAGGAAGCAAAATCCCCACACTGGTTCCGAACGCCCTGGACCTCCTGAATGTCCCGGGGGGAAAACAAAAAGCAAAACGCGCTGGCAGGCTCCGCTAGCCCGTGAAAATACTATCGAAGTGGAAGCGGGTGCGCGGCGCCTCCCGGCAGCAGCGCCGGAGGCGGGGCCCCTGCAGGGGGGACGCAGGGCGCCGCCGGGTAGCCCTGCCCGGGCCGATCGCCCCGCGCCGCCGGGGCACTAAAGCCCGCGCCGCGACGGCGGCGCTCGCCGGGGACGTGGCCAGGCCCGCGGCCTAGCGGCGCACTCACCGCGTCCTGCTGTCCATGGTCACATGTCGCGCGCGCGCTCGGGGGTCGCGCAGGGCAGCGCTCAGGTGCCCCCGTCGCCGCCCGACCGCCCGCGCGCCCGCCCGCGGCCTCTGTGACAGATGCGGGCGCGGCCCGTGTCCCCGCCGCCCGGGGCCTCAGTTCCTGCGCCGCCGCCGCCGACCAGGAAGTGGGCGGGGCGAGGGCGGGGGCGGGGCGCGCGCACCTGGCACCTGACCGCGCGGCTGCCCCTCCGCGGTGCGTCCCCCAGTTGCCAAGAGCCGCCGCCTCCGCCCGTGCGGTGTCCACGCGGAACGCGATCCGCGATGCCCGGCGCCGTGCGCTGGTCCCGGGCGCGGCGGGTGGGGGCGTTTCCTGTCACTGCGGCGGCCTCCTGGCAGCCTGGCCCCCTGCAGCCGGGGCCTGGGGACTGCGGTGTGCAACCCCGGGGTTGCCCCGTTCTCCTTGGGGGACGTCCACCCGCGAGCACCGGCCACATAGGCCACTGCGGTGTCACAGGCGCGCCTGCACCCACAGCACGAGCAAGGACTGAGTCGTGGACACACTCACGGTGGCAGGTGGAGTGGAAGGGTCCCTAGGAGCGCACTGGGGCAAGAGGCCTGGGACGGGGCGGGGGGCCGGGGTGGGGGGGGCTGCTGATCCAGCGCAGGTGGGGGAAAAAGCCGGCGTGTGCACAGGACGTGTCATAACTCCAGGGGACACATACTGCAACCAGCACCTTATAACAGATGGAGAGGCAGCGAGCCAGCTGGGGGCGGGTGTGCAAGAGCAGGTCCCCCTGCCGGTGCGTGACCTCCACCTCACAGGCCGCCCTCTGTCCTCCCTGGTCCCCAGGATCCTGGGGGAAGCCCTGGAGGAAAAGCCTCATAAAGAACCTTCCAAAGACAGTCCACAGCTGCGCCGGGGCACAGACACCTTCTGGAGGCTCCTGCCAGCAACGGTTACCACCCACCCTTGGCGCATGGCCCCCGTGCTGGCCACCCAAACCGGTGTGGCTTCCCCCTCGACTCTCGCCGAAGATAAGAGGAGAGGAAACAGAATGTGGTCGGAAAAAGGCGAATTGTGGCACGTCCTCGTCAAACGAGGAGCCTCAGGAATTCGGTACAGAATTTAGGCTTAAGAGCCTCAAGTGAAACTCAGTTACGCCCATTATAAACGCTCTTGCCAAAGGCGGGCATTACGCAGGCAACAGCAGCAGGTATGTGGCGGAGCCGCAGGCCGAATAGTCCAAAATGAGGGCAGGACATAATGGGGACATAAAAAAAAATACATGCTTTAGCACACCGGGCTGTCATAGCTTGGCTGGGGCTGAGCCACCTCGCTTCAGCTTCTCAGTTCCTGCGTTCGTAGGATGGGAATGATTACATATCACATGAACAACGTGTGTTCACATTTAAAAGTGCAACAGATTTTGTCTGACCTCTTCAGACATTATTCTGTGGATTTCAGTTTCACAATTAAGCAAACTATACCACAGGCATTTTTTCCCCCAAATAAAACTTGTTTCTGTCCAATAGGTTACCATTCTGCAAAACCTTGGGAAAAAAAAATTCTGTGAACTAAAAACCACTTCTGCTCCAAGTGTTACTAAATGTCTAGAACTTCTCCTTTCATTATAATTAATTCTCGACCCCTAAAAAGGAACCCTACCCAGGTGCCCACACAAAGAGCTTTTAATTTGCGATGTGAAAATATTCCTACATAGGTTTCCCCCACCCATTTGTTGGGATATAAGTGACAGTTATACCCCCATATAATATAAATTTGTTTTTTTTTTCAGTTTGCATTAAGTATGTAAAGGGAAAATACTATAGATGCACACACCAAGCAAATTTTTTAAACTAGCTTTTAAGTGGACCATAATCAAGAGGTTCATTTATCTGTTCTGATATTAGTCAGATGAAAGATAGAAACACGGAGAATTTTGTATACACTTCTCTTAGTGATATGGTTATTTAAACCAATGGTTATAATTTTAGCGACACTCATGCCCAACTTCTGACATGCATGATGGGAAGTCTGAAAAGGGCAAACCTCCACATTAGGATTAGATCTTCCCGAGATCCTATTTCAGCAACAATACTTCCTGCCTGACAATGGACAGTAGCCTTTCTTTGGGGCCACAGTAGTCAAAGAACGTGGTCAAAGTCTGTCAGCCGTTGATCTTTTAAACTGGTGAGCTTTTCAACTTTTTGCGTATTTTTAACGCATATGTGTTCTGCAGTTCGTAGGTAAGATGTTCTAAAAATATGTCCTGGATCAAGTGTTGTTGACATCTTTCTATGACTGACTTTGCTTGACGCAATTCAATTAATGAGAGAGATGAATTAAAATCTCCTCATTATGCCGGCGGATTCGTCTATCTCCACTTACAACTCTGTCTGTTTTTGCTTTATATAGTTTGGGGCTGTGCTATAATATGCAAACCAGTTTATAACTGGGCTGTCTGCCTGGTAAATATATCATTATGTTGTGGCTGTAACTCCAGCAATGTTTTTTGCCTTAGTGTTTAAACAGGTTTCTCCTGATCAGTATCTGCAGAGTATTCATATATCTCTTTTCATCCTATTACTTTAACACTCTCCAAGATATTATGTTTCAGATTTATCTACCGCATGTTAATTTTTACTTTTACTCTCCTCTGATAATCTTTGGCTCTTAATCAAGTATTTAGAACATTGAGCTGCTATATTTAAATGTATGTCTGCCTTCTAATGTTGTGCTTCCCATTTGTTTTCTCTTGACTTGTGTTCTTTTTTTCTTTCACTATTGCCTTCTTAAGAATTGATTGATTTTTTTTTAAGAGAACTTTATTTATTTTTAGAGAAGGGGGAAGGGAGGGCGAAAGTGAGGGAGAGAGGCATCAATGTGTGGTTGCCTCTCGCACACTCCTAACCTGGGACCTGGCCCACAACCCAGGCCTGTGCCCTGACTGGGAATCAAACCAGCGACACTTTGGTTCACAGGCCGGCATTCAATCCACTGAGGCACACCAGCCAGGTCTGACTGATTTTTTTTGATGCCTCTCCTTCTCCCCCTGTCTGTTGGAAGTTTTGTATTCTGTTCCTGTTCATTTGGTGGTTATCCTGGAAATTTTATAGGCAAATTTTAACTGACTAAATCCAGAGTTTATCAACACACAGCCTTCTCCCAAACAACACCAGGACCTTTAGGACACCCTTCCAAGCTACCGTACATTATTAATGTTTCATACAGTCACTCTTTGCTTGGATTTACCAGTTTACCACTCACTTTCCTCCCCTTTCTTATTTTCATCGTAGGTCCACCTGTGGTCGCTCTCCTTCCAGCTACAGATAGACTAGAGGTGCTGGCATAGTATTTTTTGTTTGAGTGGGACTGTATCTCTCTCACTCATTGTTGAACAGTATTTTTTTTCACTGACAAAGAATTCTAGGTTGACAATTATTCCTCCTGGATCCATCCAATACGGTTATACCGTCTTCCAGCTTCCCTAATTGTTAAAACTATCTTGGAATGTAATCTGTCTTTTCTCTCCAAAAGCTTTTAAGAGTTTTCATTTGTCTTGAGTTGTCTTTAGCTTTCTGTAGTTTCATGGTAAAGTGTGTCGGTGAGGATTTTTTAAAAATCCACCTTTCCTGCCGTCTTGGGTTTTCTTGACTCTGGACGCCCAGCCAGCTGAGCCACACCGGCCAGAGCCACGGTGAGATTTTAGAAGCCACTCTCATGAGTCGTGGTCAACGTGCATCCGAGCCAGGCATCTAACTCTGTTGCCTATTATTGTTCTTAGGTGAAACTTATTAATAGTAATACTACCTTTATTTCTTGTGGCAGAAAAATTCTCTCTATAAAGTATTTAACAAGTCAAAGTTCTTGAAGGCCTTAGAAAACCATCTTGAAAATACTTCCTCAGGACCTGCCTTTTCGCATCAACTGAGGTAGTGCAGTTTAGAAGAACATTCTCCAATTATATTATTTTTTTAATACCTAGCAGCAATATCATAAATTGGAATCTAAAGGTAAAACCTCCTTCAGAATGATGCATAGAGCACTTTTAAAATGGAGAAGAAGGCAGAGGAGAAGACTTGGGAGCAAAATCTTTCCTCAAAGTGCTTCTCTGAGTGGCTTTTGCCTCTCATTGCTATAAAGTTAGCATTCTCTGTTCATTTGAAAGCCAACTCCAAGAAAGAAAAAAAAAAAGTAGTCTTTCAGTTTGGAGACAAAAGGGTGGAAATCAGTCTTAACAGCTTTATTACCAAATATGAATATATCCAAACATTTATAAAATTCAAGTAGGGAAGGATATCTGTTTCCTTTGCTCCTAAACAGTTACTGAAAAAGAGAGCAAACTTCTCAAAGACAATACAGCAAAGACATCCTGCCCCCCCCCTGCCCTCTTTCCAGGAGACTTTCCCGAAATTACGGAATCAAATGCTCTTAACCTCTGACCGGCTTCTGCTGCTTCGCCTTTACCTCTGTCTGCCAACCTGCCAGACATCGGAAACCTTACAACAGTCCTCGGTGTGAAGAAAAAGATTAGAAGCCGAGTGTCACAGACAGGCCGTAACCAGAGAAGTCCAGTTTTCTTCCTAGATTCTTCGAGGGGCCTCGCTGGTGCCACAAGAAACAGGGCGGCGTGCGTGTGGTCCTGCTTCACGCCTGAGAAGAATCTCCTGACCCCGCCCACCGGACGCTCCCATAAACAAGCAGGCCTTCCTTGGGTGGGGACTCCGCTCACACCCATTCAATGCTCTCAAGGGAGTGAGTCATCGTATCCAACCGGAATGACCTTGGCATGCACTGGAGGAAACGTAAGAGCATCTGATGTCACAGTCCTAGTCCAACTAAATCAGTCACCCCTCCAAGCTGCCCTAATCCTGATACAGAGAAATTGTCAAACCACATTCCCGTGCGCCAAGGGCTACTTTCCTGAAGTACAAGAAAATGAGCAGACTAAACAGTACGTGTACTTATAAATCTGATCGACTCCAGGGAGAAAAAGGAAGCCGCTACAGGGAAGCAAAGCGAACTCAAATACCAAGACCAAAGGGAGAATGCCTCAGCCGGAGGCGCTTGCGGGGTAACCAGAGGTCCGAAACCCCACAGCGTTCCACCGCTGCCCCTTTCCTTGCTGTTCCAGGTAAGGCCAGGGTTAAACTAAACAAGGACTGAGCTTTCTCCTGGGCTTCGAAAGCAGGGGCCTCGTCCCTCTCTGCCCTTGTTGCTGGTGTCACAGGCCAGTGCGTCTCGTGAGAACAGCTCTGCCGCAAAGTCTTCTCTGGGGAGGACGGGGCGGCTCCACGCATCTGCGCAGGGTCCTAGTGGGGGGGGATGTTCTCCCCTTGTGAAGAGGACTCAGTGTCTTCCCCGCCCGCCTCGGTTCACTGGCACAACCCCGGCCTTCTCCTCGCGCCTCCTGAGTCTGTCCGTCGGGAGCGCTGAGCTTGGCCTTCGGGGCCATGACTCAGCCTCGGAGTCTGTGACTTTGTGGACCCCCTGCATCGTGTGGCCCGAAGGCTCTTCCTGCGCCCCACGTCCCGGCTCGTCCCTTCACTTCCCTCTGGGCTGGACTGTGGATCAGGGTCACGTGACATTAGGATGTCACTGTGCATAGTAATTACACTGCGTTCTCACCCTTGTTACTCAAGAACACGACCGGAGAGGCGCTGCTAATTCTTACTCTCCAGTGACACCGATAAGGCCATTTATTCCCCTGGAGGGTTTTGAACACAAACATGTCACCCTTCCCCTTGGCATAAGCAGATGTGGATTCTTAACGTGCGCCTGAGTTCACGAGGAGAGGCCCCTGGTGGGCGAGAAGGGGGGCTTCCAATCCAGGGGCCTGCTGCTGAGTTAGAGACAGCTGACCCAGCAAGCCAGCTGGCAAAGCAGGAAGCAGAGAGTCCGAGCAGTTGATTCACTTTGTCATTTCATGCACAAAGGCTGCGCTACACCAGAAAGACAGGCCTGACCGCATTGGCGCGGAGCCTGTTCGCGGCTGTGACTTCTGTCAAGCGCTTCGTGATCGGCTTTTAGTAGCTGGGTCTCTTGGAAGTCGTGACATGCAGATTTTTAGTAGGTAGCACAGGTACTGGCTGTGGCAAAGCAGGAAGTTAACTTTCTAGGACATTTGATTCCAAGAAAGCCTGCAAGGAAGAACCTGTAGGCCAGAGGCACCAGGAAATAAGGGTCAGCTTGCAACATACTACTGAGACTTCTTTTTAAGATTTTATTTATCTATTTTTAGAGAGCGGGCAAGGGAGAGAGACAGAGAGAGAGAGAAACATCAGTCAGTTGCCACCCAGGGACCTGCCTGCCCACAACCCACACACGTGTCCTGACCAGGAATCAAACCCACAACCTTTTGCTTTGTGGGATGACACCCCACCAACAGAGCCACACTGTTCAGGGCTTCCTGAGACATCTTTTAAAGTCATTTTCTCATAAAGCCTATAAGGATCTTCCCTCTGTCTCTCTGTCTCCCTCTTTCAGTTCAAAATTGTTTATTATCATATGTCGTCTCCCTCATGGATGTGTTTAAATATCCAAATTACAATACCATGAAATACTTTTGTAGCCAGACCTTTCTTTAAAAGTCCTTTGTACAAGTAGGATAAATAAAAGCATCGCTATGCAACAAACTAAAAGGCTTTGTTCTATAAAACTAGGAGAAACCGAGACTTGCCGCCACTGCTCATTTTACAGGTACGGAAAGCGAGCGCTGGAAGAAACTGTCCCGATGGACTTAGTCTGTAGTCCGCCTGCACCTTCAGGAGCAAACTAGGTCTAGAAACTGCATTTCCTGATTCTCAGAGATGACAAGGCGACGCTGAAGGATAATTCTCTATGAACAGTCACGTAAATCGAAAACAGAGCCTTGCATTATGCTTCTTTGTTAGTGTCCTCTGTTATTTTCCCTGCTTATATCTTCGGGGTATGAGTCTCTATTTAACATATGGTTTTTAACCCATTGCATTAAAATGACCTATGGGGGGGATTATGTAAATGGAGATTTTTTTTAATGCAAGATGGAGGCCTAGGAAAAAAAAAAGGCCAGCGAAGATCAGCCGGCCACCTAGGAAAGGCGTGTGTTAGAAGAACTGGGTGCCGGAAACAGCGGCCAGGCAGGTCTGAACTGGCGATTGTGTTATGAGGGGCTCAATCACCTGACCCCGGAGCTGAGCTTCCAATCTTCCCGTCTCGTGTATGCCCACGTGCTCTCTGCCTCTCTAGGCTGCTCCCTCCATGCCAGGCTGCGCTGTCCCCTGGTGCACGGTGGCCACGGTCCCATCTCCTTCTGTCCCTTGGAATGAACACCCCCCTCCATGACGCTGTGCTCTGGGGTTAAGCTCTTTGGCTTTCTCCTGCATCCCCTCACCTCCCCCCAAGGACCCCGTGTGTCTTGGCTCCCAGACTGACTTGGCTGGAACACCTGGTATGGACTCTCTAGCTGGTTGCAAAGGTTAGTCCTCTTCTGGTGGAGTTCACCTTCTTTGACTAAACTAGCATCGTTCCTATCCCTGGAGACCTCGCAGTCGCTGCCCTCAGGGAGTAACCAGCCTGGTGAGCTAGTTAGCAGAGACCAACAAGACGTCTGCGGCGACATTTCTGACCATCGTGAGCGCCAGGAAGAAACCGGGCAGAATGGGACGGGGAGGGGCGTGGGACGTGGAGGCGAGCGGGGATGGGCGCTAAGCGACAGACGTGCGGAGTGGGGGCCAGGCCGCAGCTGAGCGAAGATCTAGGGCATGAGGCCTCCTGGCCTAGAGGACAAGGACACGGAGTCCCTGAGGCTGGAACCTGCTGGGCCGATTAGGGGACAGCCAGGGTGGCCGGTCGGAGCAGCAGGGGAGAGAGCCCGAGGGGGAGGCCGGGTCAGACCGGTGGGGGGAGGTCCAGACCCGGGCGGGGGGGGGGGGTTATCTGCAAACATGGCGGAGACCCTGTGTGTCACCCTCCTTGCGGTGGGCGGCTACTGGAGGGGCCCAGGCGTGGGAGCCAAGGAGAGGGTTCGGGAGAGCCCTCCGAGACGCCGCTGCTGCCGCGATCCAGGAGACGCGGTCAGGCCCCGGACGCCGGTCGCGGTGGAAACAATGGGACATTCTCCTGTTGCAAGGGCCTGTCACTATTAGGGGTTTGGCCACTTGGGAAGGGACGGAGGGAAAGACAACCGTGCCGGTGCGGGGTGAGGAAGGAGCCAGGAGCTCTGCTCCGGCACTGACAGGGCGAGCTGGGAGCCCGCGAGCAGCCCAGGCGTGGCCCCCGCTGCCGTTGCTGGGGGGGAGCCCGTGTCCCCTCCCCACCACGCCCCCACCTAGGCCGCGGCCGCACCAGGCCTTCAGCCGGCCTGCGAGGGGCGCTGTTCAGCACGCTGGGCGCTCAGCGTTGGCTACACTTTTCAGGCTCAGGTTACCAGCTTCACCATCTTCGTTAAGGATGCACTGCCCCAGAAGCCCCTGCGTGAAAGGGAAAAATAGAGTCCCGTTTCCTTGGTAACATGGACCACAAAGTCTAAAAACGCATGCAACAAAGGCATTCATACGCGCATCCAGGAAAAGAGAGCCGCACCCCTGGATCCCCCGGGAAGGAGTGGTCACTAAGGAGTTCCTGCCACCTCCCCCGGCCGCGTGCTGAGGCCGGGGCGGGCTCGGTCTACAGACCCTGCGGGCGTCGCTGCACGAGGACCGCGGCGGACCTGATCTCCGGCCGCTCCTCCGGTGGCCCAGTCCCCGTGGCTCCCTCTGCCCTGGGCCGTCCCCAGACGCGCGCACCCTAATTAATACGTTAGGACAGAAGCCGCCCGGGCTGGCCGTCTCCAGTCAGCTTGTTTGCCACGCACAGAATCAAGTGTAAGTGGTTAGTTTAGAAACACAGTATGAAGAGCTCCCAAACGTGAAGCCGCGTGTGAATGAGGCTCGCGGGACCCGTGAAGGACGGCAGCAGCTTTCCCGTGGCGACTTCCCGGGAGCTGTTCGCACCTTCCAGTGAAGGAGTCCAAAGCCTAAAAACGAAACAGAGCAAAGATGAAGTGTCAGCAAGTCTCCGAGGACAGGTTTAACCCTCCCTGCCTCGTGCCACGCTGCCGCTTCCCCTCGCTGCCCCTCAGCAAAGGCCGGCGCCTGAGTTCCCCCGGAGCCCCCAAACGTAATCCCTTTGGAATCTAGATCTGTACAAGCCTGGCCCTTTCAGGCCCCGATTACTGGTATCCGCGGTTTTCCAGGACAACCAGAATCATCAGCCAGAAAGTTGGAGAAGAAAGAACAGGAGAGGGGAAGGAGGTGATTGTCACGAGAGGACAGGAGTGACAGTTTGCGTGCAGTACGGTGTGAAAGCCGCTTTGCCGCTTTTAGCCACAGCTGCTGAGCACACTGCAGTGACACGCGTGTAGAGAAACCCGCAGGACACCTCTTGGGAGGCACGCTTTTCACTCGGTGGTTTATAGGCTTTGGATTTCTTCCTCATTTCTCTTTGCTTTTCCTAAAGCAGTACCGTGAGAGTCAGTCCCCGTTTACTCCTGTGCCCAGGGTAATTTTCAGGTGCGCTCCCTTATTCCAACACACGTCACAAGTTTGCCCAGCGATTTATGTGGTCTTTGTGGGTGTCGTTGCTTGTGGCTGAACGGAGCAAGGGAAAGAAGGAGAAGGGGAAACCATGCACATTCTGCTCGTAGTTTTTCATTTCGTCCGCACAGCGACAGCGCGTGGCTCGGTTCTCCTCCC